GTAGAGGTACCACCCGCCGTATGCCCACGTCCACCACGACCCACGCCACCAGACGTACTGGCGACGTGGGTCGGGCATAGCACCTTGCACCGACATCATGGACGAGAGTTGCTACTAATGAACCCCAAAAAGGAACTACTATGGGGCCCATGGGTAGATGCCACTTCCCAATCCCCAATCCAAAACCGGCGACCCCGGCACTAAAATAAAAAAACGGCCCAGGCCATCCGCAACCTCCCAGTTTCCCACCGGGACGCGCCTTGCCTTGGTACTTTGGAGGTTTAGGGTTTAGGGTTTCGGGCTGTAGGGTTTAGGGTTTAGGGGTTTAGGGTTTAGGGTTTAGAGTTTCGGGCTGTAGGGTTTCGGGTTTTAGGGTTTAGGGTGTAGGGTTTAGGGTTTAGGGTTTCATGGCAAGCTCTTAGTCTTTCGAGCAAGTGATTTGTAAGACAGGTGACAAGCTATCTTTGACTTGCATTTCATTGATATTGCTATGCCCACACCAGTTTCTTGAACCGTGTTTTGCAATGTTCGAGTCTCTCCCCACTATTTCAACCGACATCATAGGGGGGAAGCCTAACAGACCTGGCCTGAGACATCATCCGCACTACAAATTCAAAGGTGCATCATGATTAAGTATGAGGCGCTGCCCATGATAGCGACTGCTCGTAACGGGTTTTCTTTTGTCCTTCGCATCCCCCGCCATATGGTGTACTATTCCTCTCTTGTAAGGCCATAAGCACAGGTCGTTTGAGAGATGATTCTTTTCTCGCACTTGTAGCTAAGTTGCTAACGTTTGACATTCTGGAGTCATTACCCCTTGAGAAGCATCTTTTGTTAGCGTTGCCTTGTGTGCTGTTGTCATTGCCACTGTGTTGCATTGCCGACGATCTGGGCTGCAGGAATTGCTCGCCAGGTCTCCTTGCAATCGAGATGCGTGGTACGAATTTCCTTGGTTCCCGCGAGGATTCATAGTCGTGTAGGGCCTATGGGCACTATGCGTTTTCCCTGAGCAAAGAAGCCTACGATCAAGCACCTAAGGCCTGTTCAGCTTCATAGACATGTACATACGGCTGACTGCCAAAACTCAAGTGTCATGGAAGGCAGCTTCGAAGAGCCTCTCAAACCACTCAAACAACAAAGCCAAAGCCTTGGACTTGGACTCAAGAGCCCTAAACTCAGAACCCGAAACCCTAACACCCGAACCGAGGGCGATTGTGAAAACTGCAACCGCCGATTGCTGGAGCTGCCAGGTACACTGTATGTTGGAGCACCTTTCGTCGGGAACTGAACTACTAACCTATATCTTTTGATTGGGGGCTGAGTACTCCAGCCCAACAAAGGTTGTCCTTCAAATTATGGTACGGTTTGCCCAGCCCCTAACTTACACACTACACGCTCCCTGCAGAACCTATCTTGAACAGCTTCGGCTACGTGCGGCTTCAGTGGCAATCCCAATTCCGGGAAGAAGGTCTCCCCGCCGTCGTTCTCCGGCAAATCATTCAGATAGATGAAGACTGGATCCAGGTTTGCTGAGGGTTTACGGCTTAGGAGGATGGATCCGGGGCTCCCCTGCTCGTGCCGAGTTAAGCCCTTAGCCCTGAACCCCAGCTGCCTCAACCCCTCAACCCCTCAACCGCCCCTTCCAACACACCCTACCCCAAAATTCACCCGCACTTCAAACTTGCTTCGCAGCTTGCTTTCGGCCAGGTGGGCGTCAGCACGAGGCCTGGGGTCTAGGTGCAGAAAGTCAACCCAGCATCTAATAAGCTATAAACACAACTTCGGGTTGAGGGCTTCACCCAGGGTGGGTTTAGGCTTTAGGGTTTAGGGTTTACGGTATCGGGCTTTGGGCACACGACCGCTTCACCACAGTGACTTGGCTCATGGCCTCGGGCATCTCTTCGCCGCTATCGACCCCGATACAAATACAGTGAAATGTGACATAAAGAAAAACAAAACATGGCAAATATGATACCTGGTGTATATGTCCATGCACTTAGCGGAAGCTAGTGAGAACAGATGTGACACCCGTACAATAAATAGTGAATACAACATGTCGTGATATATGTTCCGAATGATTTTGTAAGTATGTTTAAAGAGAACTGTGAAGACATCGCTTAGACGTCCACGAAATCCCCAAAGCATCAACACAAATAGGAGGGAAGCTCAAGTCAGCAAGGATTTATTTGGCAAGCACCTCGCCTTCCCCGAAGGAAGTGAGAAAATCAAACCCAAACTTCAACGTCAACGGCATTTAAGGCTTGGGGTTCAGGACTTGGAGGGCCTGTCATAAAACCAAACGAAAATCAAAAACATGGAATCAACATTCTAAGATCTGGCCGTAATGCCAATTCCTGGAAGACGCCCGTTTTCTCCTTGCTACAAAGCAAGCTCGTCAACGAGGTGTCCGCACTGCGCTGTACGGGTGCATGTCACGCTGCCAGCAAAGGCTTTTATGTCTCTTTCCAAAGTCGTGCAGTGAGAATTTCGCCGTAATGCAAGTAGCTATGGGATTGCTATGCTGTACCTGTGATTACCTATGAGATTTGGGATTCAGCAACAATGAGTAGTCCACGGCTTAAACTAAACGCTTCCGCGCACAATGCCACTGAGAGGTAAACTCTGACCCCTACTTCGCTAAAAACTAATCCCCTAAGCCTGTAACGGCTCAGCTTGTCTGGGGCGTCGGTCCAACCTGCCGAGCTTGTCGGAATGAAGGGGTTGTGTATGTAGGATTTGAAACAAATATTCACCATATCCACGTTTGCAAGTACATGTGTACAGATGTATTATCATTTGTGTGCGCGTACCCAGTTTTTGCAGCTTTGCAGATGTGTGTCCTTGTTGTTTAATACGTGGTTGTGGCGTTTGCTTGTCTACGCGTATACAATACAGAAAGGTATTCGTAAAACAGACATGCACCAACACATAGATTTGCACATGGAGACGGTGTTGTATCCCTGTATCAATACCCACACTCTACACCAGGATACACACACACAAACATCTACATTCAGGTTACACACTTACAACTAATTGCATGTATGCATGTATGCATGTACGTACGGATGTGCATGTACGTATACATACACACGTCAAACATAAACAACCGCTCATCTATCTATGTATCTGTCTATCTACCTACCTACCTACCTACCTACCTACCTATCTACCTACCTACCTACCTACCTACCTACCTACTTACCTATCTATCTATCCATCTATATATCTCTCTATCTATCTATGTACCCATCGGTCGATCCATTCGCGGGTCTATCATCCATCTATATACTTGTACACTGTCTACATACATGTGGAAAACTATTTCTGGCCTCCGACTACAGTACCCGAAGTCGCGAAAACACTTGCAGGAATCAACACCACCTCCAACTCCCTTTCCAGATTTGGACTCGAAAGCAAACATCCCCCTAAGCCTCAATTTCTAACTCCCCTAAACCCTAAACTCTCTTTCCTACATTGAACTAAGAAGGTGTCACCGAATGTATCACCGAATAGACAGGGCACCAATCCTAACGTTTCCCGGAATTGGAGGCACCAACCCTGCTGGCAATTCTCCCAATTTTTCCGACAATCTCTGTGCCGGAAAACGCATCGACAATGTCGATTCTCCTTGTTCTGCTTTGTCTTGTTTTGCGCTGCCCCGGCCGACTTCCCCTGCCCCTTGCCCTGCCCCATGCCTTGCCCTACCCGGCTGAAGCTCATGATGGCTGATGCTCATGATGGCTGATGCTCGGTGGACTGCTGCGCTTGTGCCTCCTCCACCACCCCAGCGGGCGCCCTTCAAACCTTGCCTCTAAGCAAGCCTGTGAATACACTAGTTGCTGATTCCTTTGCGGCGCATTAGTCCGCCCCACCTGTGAGATTTCCAGCTGCTGGCATGGCCAGAGGACTCTCCGCACCATTGAAAAAGCCCCATAGCTTCAGCCAGCTTCCCCTAAAGCCGTTTTGGCATTCTCCATGATGTCTGAAAATTCAACTTCTTTCGGCGCCAAATGAGCTGCTACCCTGCTTTGCTGAACACGTAGGCCAAGTCATCCCTCATGTCTTGCGAGGGAGTTGCTGCTGATGCATTCAAGCCTTGGCCGAGCCCTGCAACATCAGACAGATCCACCTCCGTTGAGAGCAG